CGTTTCAAGTGATGTCATCCCTGAATGAGAGTGTAGGTATACACTTAGATCGTAGACGTCATGCCTTATTTTTACCAGTTGTGTGCGTTAGGAAATCAAGGGGGTATTCACTCTGGTAATAGTCGCTGTAATAGTCCGCTGTGTCATTGATCTGTAATAGTTTTGCACTGGTAAAAACTAGAGCGTAGTTGTATGCTCATTCAAGCATACAACTACGCTTGAAGACTTTACGCTTGAAGTCAAGATAGAGAAGAAATTCCCCCATGCATAGATAGGCGGGAAAGAGGTGAAATGGAGAAACAACGCTTGAAGCCGATCCTAGTTCTACTACGCTTGAAGAAAGGCGTAAAAGTACGCTTGAGTTCTACCAGCCTGTGTAATGTATTGGTGATAAGGGCAGCAATAGGAAAAATAAGTGGCAGTTTCTTTCTTTTCAGACCAGTTGCCTTGGATTTTTTTAAAAAGTTTTCTGGTTCTGATAGATCAACAGTACGGTACAAAAACCTGCACCTAATAAAAAGGGCGCATCACCGCATTCTTATTAAAATTGAAATAGCCCGAAATGGCCCAAAATGCTTGTGTTCACGCTTAAGGGGCAGTAGCGTCATTGCACGTGTTTTGACGATTTTCGAACCTCCTGTTTAGACGTTAATATAAAGATAAGTATGAATGCCAGAGACAAACGGCAGGCACCATTTGAAAGATCAAAAGTTTTACAAACATTTTCAAAAAAAAATATTTTGTTTTAGCATTGAATTAGGATGTTTTGTGTTCTATGCAAAAATGGTCTGCAAAATTACATGGTGTCACTGCGCGGCACGATTGCAGCCAAAGTTTTTAACTTTTTACCAATCGGTAAAATGCATCTGAAAAAGCATGAAATTGCCCATAAAATGAACCTTAGGTTTCAATATTGGGCAGAAAAAACTATTGAAACGCTCATCTTCACTAAGATGGAAACGAACCACATTTTTTCTGGCCCAATATTAAAACCCAAGGGTCATTTATGGGCAATTTCATGCTTTTTCAGATGCATTTTACCGATTGGTAAAAAGTTAAAAACTTTGGCTGTGCAATCGTGCGTACGTAGGTCACTTTGCCTACCATTTGATTGTCCTACCTATTTTATTAAATATAATAATAAATAAAATTAAAAATTAAATATGAATAAAAATTAAATTTAAAATGGAATAAAAAATTAAATGAATAAAAGTAAAAATAAGAAGTGGGAAGGTGGGTTGATGGGGTAGGCGCGCCTCGGTGGGCCTGCAATGTGGCAACTACGCACGCAACAGCTCTCGAGAGCCCCTTGTCCTCGCACGGGGTATCGCCGGCTGGTGCGATGGGTTGCCTAACTGCCTGGGGCCCGCCCCCTCTACTCCCGGGCCTGCAGTCACCGAAGGTCATCGCATGGTTAGGGAGCAACACGAACGCGCTCTTCTGACGGCTCGTCTCCGGAGCCGTTCCACCTGACCTGCCTGGACGGTCATGTCAGTCTGTCCGCTGTAAAGGTGAGCTACCAGTGTCATCGGCGAGAGTTAGGTAGGTCACCCGATAACGCAAGTCATGCAACCTGAGCAGTCGTGCGAAATGAAATGGGGCGGCGGTGCGGCCGGCCCAGGCGAGCGCCTGCGAGGTCGGGGTAGGCATCACCGCGCGACACGTCCGTGCGGCGGGCCGGCCTACCCTGCCGTCTGCAGGCGGCGGTGCGGCCGGCCCAGGCGAGCGCCTGCGAGGTCGGGGGAGGCATCACGCGCGACACTCCGTGCGGCGGGCCGGCCTACCCTGCCGTCTGCAGGCGGCGGTGCGGCCGGCCCAGGCGAGCGCCTGCGAGGTCGGGGTAGGCATCACCGCGCGACACGTCCGTGCGGCGGGCCGGCCTACCCTGCCGTCTGCAGGCGGCGGTGCGGCCGGCCCAGGCGAGCGCCTGCGAGGTCGGGGTAGGCATCACCGCGCGACACGTCCGTGCGGCGGTGCGGCCGGCCCAGGCGAGCGCCTGCGAGGTCGGGGTAGGCATCACCGCGCGACACGTCCGTGCGGCGGGCCGGCCTACCCTGCCGTCTGCAGGCGGCGAGACTCGTCCTCCGGCATAAGATTACACGTCTGTGGTGTCGCTACGGCCGCCAGGGAAGTCCAGTACCAGCTACTTCCTATGATCGGTCACCTTATTGACGCCCTTCGGGTAAAGCTGCATGCGTGCGTTGCGTGCAAGAAATTATTTCACCAGGGTTATGCTTATCATAAGTGCCCTTTTCGTCCTTTGTGTGTATTTGATGAAGAGGCAGTTGAGTGCGATGCGCTCAATGGCTTGATTGGTGATACGGCTGCACCTGGCCGGGAGAATGTGCTCGCCTCGTAGTTGTGACTCGCGCGGGTCTTCCGCATCGTATCATACGGTACCAATGATCCGTACCGAAATGCGTTATCGCTGTTGGGTATTCCTCCTCCCACGCATCCGGGTTCGAGCCGTTGAGCTTGAGGTCAGCCCTCCGATGCCCCGGAGGGCTGCTTGAGCCTCGGTGGCTCGCGGTGCGTTGGTGAGTGCAGGAGGCCAGGTGAGTTCCGCACACTGATACAATGTGTATTTGATAAGGTGATCCACTTCATTCCCTCTCGATGCGCCTCCGCTTAGAATCGTAGTGTATCCTTGACGCACTGATCCCCCCCCCCCCGTTTCTCCCTCTGAGTGCTTTCCTTTGTGGCTAGCTCCGCATTGGTTGTTTGATTCACTGAGTGTGGTAGCTGTCCACTGACGCAAGTGGACTGCCTACGCATGACGGTGGGTCGCAGGGAGAGAAAGGCCCAGGTGAGTCACACCGTGTGACACGCACACGAAACACCAGCACTGCTGTAGCTACTGCGACCGTCGTCTTACCGACGCTTTTTGTGGGACAGCGTGCCCCTGTGCGCTTCCCGCTTACTGCGTGATCGTTCTCCTAATTTTCCTCATCCCCAGGCACGCTCCCTCCCGCTACTAATGGAATATTTGGCCTTCCGAATGCGTCTGACACGTCCGCTTTCATATCACCACCGTCGTAAGTGGGATCTCTGATGACCGCCGTTAACTGTTCCAGGTTGAGTGGTTTTGAGGGGCTGGTCCGCAGCACGCAGTTAACCCCAGCGTCCCTGCAGTCTGCAACCTGGAGCCAGTGATGTCCACATCGTAGAGAGCAGGCAGGCAGACCAGCGATCGCGACGAGGCGCGCACGAGAGGCGCAACTGCCATGGTCAGAAACGTAAGGTGATTTTTTTTTCGTTTCTGTTTTTGAAGTACCTTACAGGAAGGCAACCCAACTCGCGCTCTTCCCCATGTTGCCAAATCTGTTCGGCAGGGTCACCGAACTTTCCCGCCTCGTGTTTCCCCCTTTCTTGACATTTACCGTGTAGACGATATTCTGTAATGTGTACTAAAGAAAGCCGCTTGAGTTGTTTGCAGGTCGAAACGGCCCGTCCCGCATCGCCCAGTGTCGAGCGTCTTGAACCATAAGCAACCCAACGGCGGCATTGAGCCCCCGCCTGCCTGTGCGCACCGCTGCATCCAACCGGCCCTCGGCCCTCCGCCTCGCCGATGGACTTGGCGGCCTCAACGCCACGCCGCCCCGACGACGCCGGAACGCCCGGCACCGACGCGGCGATGACCCCGCTAGGGCCGTACCTCGCACCCTCTCGCGTGCCCTTAAGCCTGGGATGCGGTGCGCGACTCCGCGGAATGGCCTGCTCAAGTCAAGTCTGTGGCGACAGATTCTTCCACAGCGCCTGCCAAGTAGGCAGCACTAGAGACAAGGAACACCAAGTGGCTGCCTACCCTCCGGGCGCCCTCCAAGCCATCTTTGCTGGAGGCGCCCTGGGAGCACGGCACGGCCGTCCGCCTCGGTTAAAGGGAATGACGACCGAGGAGAAGGGCGTTTCCCTTCGCTAACACGACGCCCGCTCGCGTCTGCTCTGTCTGTGCACTGGCTGATTTTTCCAAGCTCTCGTGAGGGGTGGGTGTGTGTGTGGCAGCCTCAACCTCCCCCGCTCATGTGCTCATTATGTTAAACGCCTCAGAAATTGTATTTATCCAATCTGTGATTGTTGGCTGTAATTCTTCATGTGCAGTGTATTAATTTGACACACTGTTTGTGATCAAGTGAAACGATCACTCTCTGCGATTTTTGTTCTCAATGGCACCTTGCTTTGGAACATGTTTGTCGACCAATTGATTTGATGTGGTTTTCTAATTGATTCAATTCTTGTATACAAGTATTCATGCAAAATGTCTGGTCAAGTTCTCTTAACTAATGCACTTAAATATGTGATTGATTTACAAGAAAAATGAATGGTAAGAGAAATATATTTAAGATGCCCTTGAAACTTATCAGATCCTCAGTCAATGTTCAGAAATTGCAATGAGCTTGCCAGTTAAGTATTTATCAACTCCTCAAATAACTGCAACTTGTCTCGTTTTAGTCTTTCCTCCGGTCCATCCCAAAAGGGAAATGATTTCATCAGATGTGTGTGGGACATTCAAGAAAGCAAAAGATGTAAAATAAAACAAGTTTGGCACTGAATTTTAATTAGCTTGTGTTTCTCAAACATGCCTAATATAAGCAAAATAATCATATGGCAACAGATGACACAATTTCACTCACAAATACATTGGCCCAACACAGTGTGTCAAGAAATTATTGCTGTTCACAATCCTGGATCATTACGAATATAAAAATACTAAGGCCATCAAGAAATTTGCAACCGCACAACTTGTTTGGCTTCAAAGCAAGTGGAGTTCATTCATGCGTAACTGTCTATTTATTCAATTGTACTTGCAGACACCCTTATCAACAATGAATCTTTGGAGCCGATGCTTCTTGGTCTCTTCCACCTTACTGTGGCGTTGCGCTAAGTTGATTAAGCAAGTTCCACAGTGACATCTGCCAAAAAAATTTAAAAATCCTGAAATATTAATTAAAGCCTAACGACATCTCAGTAGTCAGTCGAAGTTACACTTCACATTAAACTCACCAGGAATAGTTTAAAAAGAAGTCTGCTTTGGGAATCAGATTCATAGACACGCAAGTATTGGAATCCATGCACCTCATAGAATGCCACCACTGCAACAAGAAGAAAGTGTCATGTTAAATACAAAATTTAAAGCCAATGCCTGATTTAAGTTTCACTGAACCACCAACGCCACGTTTCAACAATTGAGGTAATCGTACTTAAGACTCACATTTTTGGTGGAGGACAGGGCACAATCAGCAATGCTAGCTGGTAATTTCTCCCTTTCTCATTTAAGTGTTTACTTCTCTTGGTGGCATCCTAGTCTCCTAGTCAAGTTGAGGTGAAGCTCCAGTCTGTAGCATCAGTGGGCAGGATGCCAAATTGAATAAGTGGAAAACCTGGAATAAAGATGCACAAGAAAAGTACATGCCCACTACAATTGGCAACAGTTGCACGATACATCTCAGGGCCACCTTTACTACCAAGTCCACCCCTTTGAGAGCAAAAGATGTAACGAATACCTGTAAAATGTGTGGATAAGAAAATACAGCTTAGTCTTACCTGTTTGGCCTGCATGAGACGAGAGGAAGGGGGTGGAGGCGAGGGGGAGGAGGGGAAAGGGGGTGGGGGGATAGTTTAAATGAGAACAAAATATGAAGACCTCTTCAGGCGGCCGTAACACCGGGTCACAGCTCTCGCCTGGGGTGGCAGGGGGTTTCTTCACCGAAACCACTCTTCTGCTTACATTTAATACATCATTTGACAAATCTTAACACCTCTTCAGGCGGCCGTAACACCGGGTCACGGCTCTCGCCTGGGGTGGCAGGGGGTTTGTTCACCGAAACCACACTTCTGCTTACACTTAATACATCATCATTTGACAAATGTTAACACCTCTACAGGCGGCCATAACACCGGGTCACGGCTCTCGCCTGGGGTGGCAGGGGGTTTCTTAACCGAAACCACACTTCTGCTAGTTACTTGTTTTCAGAAAGTGAATTTTTAAAGGAAGAGAAAGTAAAGATATAATAATAATAAAGGTGAGCATATTATAATGCTCTTTGGGGCTGGGAAGGGGCGAAGAAGGGGTGTGGGTGAGTTAGAGAAGGCCTCAAATTACTTGCCATGCTCGCTACAGCAGCACAGAGAGCACTCAATGGGAACACATCCAAACGGACTCTGGATCACATCATACGTATCCAATCGTAACCAATTTGTCGGTGACTGAACACAAACCCATGCAGATGTACCATTGATGAATGAAATGCTTTAAACATTGACAATCACTGTTACTATCAGTTTCCCCTTTTTTTTTAAATGCTCAAAACATGTGAAAAGAGCAACTGCTCATAAATTGCTTGCTTTTAACTTTGAATTAAAATACGATAAATTGGAACATAGGTCACAAGAATAAAAATAATTACTTGACAATAATAATGAAACTACTTGGTAATGAACTGAAAATAAATAAATAAAAACCTTTGAATAGCAGTGTTTTGCAGCAATCTGAATTGGATGGCAAAAGAAATGCAACAAATTGTTCTGATAAGCAACCCTGAATCGAATATTATTAGTATTGCAACAAAGTGAAATATCGTGAAGAAAAATTTTAAGTCCTGCTGAGCAACTCTGAGCTGAATCATAGGATAATAGAAATGCAACAACTAGTAATGCACTGCATGTTGGGACTTATGCAATGTTAATCTGCTTTAGGTGCTAAGTGCACCCAGTTATGAAAATTATGGCCCTTAATTCATACAAAATAGATCCAAAATCCTCTGCAACTAATTGCCAACACCACGATCATTCAGATTTTGAAAAGAAGACGGACACACAGAATGGAACGGACTCACCACAGGCAGCAATGAAAAGCTATCAATGAGCTAAGTTAACCTTGTGCTCGGTTCACCAAATTGTTGCTTGAGAACGTACATAGTCAACTTAGGCCTCTGTCAATAGAGGTGCATCATCATGACTGCAGAGCAGTTGAGTTGTGGTCCAGCTGCAAGACAAAAAACAAAATATTATGAACTTCCCACTGTCAAATATTTTCAGGAGAACATTAAGACAAAGAACCAGATACAAATTTACCTGGGACAAATGGCAATGTAGGGATATGCATTGAGATGGTTCCAATATCAAATTAACACTATGCATTTAACAACAAGAAACAGAGCTGTGCCTATGCTAACACACTTCAACCTTTGAAATAATCATAGTTCAAACAAGAGTCAGTAAAGCAAAAAAAAAAAAAAAACATGGTTAACAGTTGATCCTGTGAAGCAATGAGACAATCACATCAATATTGTACCTGCAACCCTGCAATAACACCTGGGTTATGGATGAACTTTTAACAACATTTTGGCATACAAGAGAGCGAGCCTGAGACTGCCTTCAACAATTGTCAAATCTTTTCAAATTATTGAAACTCCAACGGTGGCATTGCACAACTGCTGTTGTGGCAAAGCTTACAATGGTCCATATCAAGTGGAAGGCGTAGAGAGTGCCGCTCACAGTGCTAAGAGAATTAATAAATTACAGAAATTATTTCAACTTCAACGGTGGCATTGCACAACTGCTGTTGTGGCAAAGCTTACAAAGGTCCCTGTCAAGTGGAAGGCTTAGAGAGTGCCGCTCACAGTGCTTAGAGAATTAATTAATTACAGAAATTATTTCAACTTCAACGGTGGCATTGCACAACTGCTGTTGTCGCAAAGCTTACAAAGCTCATTTCAAGTGGAGGACTTAGAGAGTGCCGCTCACAATGCTTAGAGAATTAATGAATTACAGAAATTATTTCAACTTCAACGGTGGCATTGCACAACTGCTGTTGTGGCAAAGCTTACAAAGCTCATTTCAAGTGGAGGACTTAGAGAGTGCCGCTCACAGTGCTTAGAGAATTAATAAATTACAGAAATTATTTCAACTTCAACGGTGGCATTGCACAACTGCTGTTGTCGCAAAGCTTACAAAGCTCATTTCAAGTGGAGGACTTAGAGAGTGCCGCTCACAATGCTTAGAGAATTAATGAATTACAGAAATTATTTCAACTTCAACGGTGGCATTGCACAACTGCTGTTGTGGCAAAGCTTACAAAGCTCATTTCAAGTGGAGGACTTTGAGAGTGCCGCTCACAGATGCTAGAATTATTGGCCGAGTTAAACTGAAAGTACATTGAACACGAGCATCCTACATTACTGTCATGCACCAGAAGCTGCATCATTGCATCTAGATTTGACCTCTACATAGGTATCCATTTACTAAACCCTTCTGCTTTTACAGGGGTTGGTGAGCCTCTTGCACCTTAGAATTTCTTTTTGCCCCACCTACTCCCTTAAAAATGAACAACAGTTTAAAAATTTACCAGAAAATGGACAATTATGGTAAGGAACATGATAAAAGCAACTGAACTGATCTGAACCAAAGTAAGGGTCACCATTTACTCTGCTAAAAGTAATGCAGTACACTTTGACGCAAAGTTAGGCCAGCTGATCGCACGTCACAATCAGAGCCCTAATAGGCTTGCCCACTGGATCGGACAGACAATTGGGAGAGAGTGCAGAGGATGGAATAGACTGAGAAGTATTTGGGTGGAGAAAGGGTGCACTGCATTACAGTTAGTCAAAGATCACCACACTATGTGAAAAAATTAGTTCAGCCACTGAACATGACACAAACCAGGCATAATCTGGTTAGCAGAAACAACATGTTGTGGGGGTCTCGCAAATAACTACCAATGGAATGAATGCCATTGACATCGAGCGATAGTAGCAACATAAGACAGTGATCAAGCCCTACCACTGTGTAAGAACATTCTCAAATACATGTATTCATTACCCTCCACCTGAATCTCATTTGACTCAAGTGACCAACCCACCTACTCAACTCTCTAAGAACACTGCTCGGCACAGACTATCCGATGAACAAACTGCAGGTGTCAGCTGCTCGGTGGAAAAATCTGTCGGAGCAAGGGAGTCGACCTCCATGTTGCAATAGAGAGCGTCATCCTAATGCTAAAGTGAGATTACAAAGTCTAACGGTGCCAAAACATTGCTTTCCCGCTCTCAACCACAAAGACAGTGATATAATCACCAAGTCATGTTCAATGAAAAGAAAAACAAGAAGAGACCAAACCCAGGTTTCCTTTCAAAACATGCAATTCTCAGACACCAATTTATCAAGATGTGCTTACTTTCCCCATACAAGAAACACCAAAAAAAATACCGTCATAATCAGTCTGCCAAAATCCTAGTTCTCATATTCTTCATTGAAAGGCTCAAGTCCAGCAACCGTTGAGCTGCATCCAGCTATGTCCAGCGAAGGAGTCACAAGAGTACGTTCCACTCACATCAACAATAAAAGTCCTGAAGGAAAATGAAAACATACGTCACATCTATCCTAAACTGAGAAGAGTTTACATCATGCAGATCTGCACAAACCCTTACCTGCGTGACTTCAAAACATACAACAGACTCTGCAAGCACTGGAAAGGGAAACCAGACAGGAGTTGAGAGCCGGTACTGCATGTGAAATTCCAGTTGGGACTGCGCTTCAGCGTATGGATGCCTTGGGGGCCAAGCAGTTTTTCAACCAACATAATCCGGTTCTAAAAATCATCGCAATGTTGAAGAGGCGAAACTGGAACATGAAATGAACGTAAAATGAGGGCAATGTCAACTGAATGTTCCATGGCGAACTTACAAGCAAATCCTACCTGGGAAGGATACCTTCTTTAAGGTTAAGATACAACTCAGGATAACCACAAAAACACGGCCAGTAATCTCCTATCCAAGGCCGGCAGCTGCTCATTCACATTCAGGCCACTCGGAGAGGTTCAGGTACCGCACCTGAAAAATTAGAACACTTGACTTAAAACCACTGTGAGGTGAATGCGAAACGTTACAGTAACAGGACAATTTAAACGTATTGCTTGGCTCAAACAAAGCTTTAAGAAAAAAGCGATTCAAGGAAGTCCGAGGACGGATTGAATTACTACTGTTTGTGCTGTAGCAGAACAGCTTAGAGGTTAGGAGTGCAACCGCACGGACCAAAATAAATGGAGACAAAACAGATTTGAAGAGGCACCCCTCACTCCTCGCACTTCCGTGACTCAATAAGATATTAGCATTAGCCTGAATGGATCACCTTTTTGGCCTACGGACAACGTACAGTTTAAGTATGCGGACAAAAAGTAGCGACCCTCCGCCGGGCCTGCGATTGCGCCCAACGCTGCCGGAAACGGACTTCGGCGATACGAACACTGCCTGTTGTCAAACTATCACGCAGGTGAACAATAGCTTATTCGACAAGTGAATGAACCCTGGGCCACGGTCTGGATGCCACACAGCGGCGAGCGTTATGCCCTGCTGAGGGCCGTATGTTTACAGTCATTTCATACAAATATGACTATTTTGGCACCACTACCAAAATGCGTCTCATCTGAGCTGATTTCATTGTAAGGTATTAGTAAACTTTTTCTTACTTCATCAAAATGATAGTTAGGAAAATTAATTTACATGTATAAGTCGGAAATTGAGTCCTCAATACAGTGGCCAACATTCCCAACATGAAAATAACGCCCTAGAATTTGCATTCTAGAATTAGACGGTGCGCAGGCTATTGTGTCGCAGGTCTTCATTCATGCCTGGCTGCACCGGCGTGAGGGTCTGACAAGCTGATGTGACTCTCAAACAACTTATTTTGGATTTCGAATTGAGTGAAATGGTTCCTTGCGAAGATGCGACAGTGATAATTGAATTTTGTTCTACGACTATTTGAAACGAGATTCCGGATCAAGTCCAGTTGCCTGCGCATCGGACTTCCCAGGCCACAGGCCGGTCTCTGCCTCTGCACTTTGGCACATGATGTCCACCTCACGGCATCAGTGATAGTTGCAGCGCAGCCCTGCGACGGTCCATATACCGAGGAGTCCGCCTGTCTCGGCAGCGGCCTGGGGCGGGGTATCGCCAGGCCCGGCCGGAGGGGTCGTTACTTGTGTACGCATAGTACGATTCCACACTTGGCCGCTTCAACTTCGTAACGACTTTTTCTACACAAAATCCCAGTTGTCCACACGGGTAAACACACAAGTTGATGCGTTGAACACTTAAAGGGCGACGCGCAATGGGTTTTTTCCCCAGACTTACATTAAAATGTAAGAAATCACAAGTCGAATCCCACAACGGGCCGGGCTTCTCCGAGACGGTTGGTCGAGTTCGAATCCAGGGTGGGAGGGGGGAGGGGGAGAGAGACGGCCGCACGCTGGGAACGCCGAATGGGAGAAGGCGGAGACGAGTTTTGGTAGAGTTACGTTTTTGGCGGGATACGTGCTCGCTGTTGTCTGTCCAGTCGCAGTTGGATTATTTGTTCTGCCTTGTTGCGCGATCGCAATTGTAATTGTCTGTTCATATTTTGTATTTCAAGCTCAAGGTAAGCTTTTTTACATTCTTTGACTATCGATATGCTTTCCGGAATCTAAGGCTGACTAAACAGAACAGATTTAGTCGAATCCACTATGGTCCTTTTGCGTCTTCGCCTCGTGTGACCGACGGGGTAGCCCTAACTTTGGACACGAATCGTAGTTGAGTTTGATGTCTAATTAGGTCCGAATCGGGTTGCTCGGTTAGTTTTGTGATTAGCGGTTCCAATTGTGATGGGTGGAGGTTACGGGGCGGCCGTAAGCCCAACACTAGACTGACTCATTGCAGGTCAATGGGCTCGTAAATTATCGTCAATGAACGAGTTTGCACTCGACGGCATGCTTTGCCAGTTGAACCTATGCTATATTTATTCATTTATTTTTTTGCTTTTTGTAGATGCAAGGGAATTTTCGGCAGCAACCTCCTCGCCGGCCCTTCTTCCCCGGAGCCCGAGTTCCGTGGCGGCCTCAAGGACCTTGTTACCCCCCTCCCCCTCAGCCCCACCTGTATGGATTCCCTCCTCACGTTTTTCCTTATCCCCGGCCCTACGGCGATTTTGCGCCTCGCCCCTTTGCCAGAGGCCCATCACGCCTTAGTCTTTCTCAGCGAAGTCAAACAGCAACTCCTCCCCCAGTCACCAGTTCCCACACAACTACCTCAGTGATCTCCCCCTTCAAATCTGCTCCTGTCCAAGGCACTGCTACTGCTTCATCAGCAAGTGTCTTGACTTCTACGATTTCTACCACTTCCCAAATGACAGCAGTTTCTGTTCCGTCCACGTCGGCTCCAGTGTCCTCAGTGATCTCCCCCTCTAAATCTGATCCTGTCCAAACCACTGCTACTGCTACATCAGCAAATGTCTTGGCTACCACTTCCCACGTAACAGCAGTTTCCATCCTGTCGACATCGGCTCCAGTCCAAGCCAAACCAGGAAGAGTCTACACTACTTCAAAGACTTCTGCTGTTTCTTGCTCCACTGCACAATCCATGGAGTCCAGGGTGACACGTTCACGTTCACAGGCTACAACCAATCTAGCGCAGAGTTCTCCCATCATTATCGATGATGATGATGATGATGGCCCTCCCTCCCCTTCACTCCCCTCAGATACTGAATCAGACTTTTGGTCCAGTTTAAAAAGGAGGACATCTGCTCTGAGGAAGGACATTGCCAAAGGTTCAGGAGGTAAGGCATTGCCCTAGTCTTCGCCAGAAAAGCAGCATTGGTGTACGTAAAACATTGACTAAATTTGACTGCTCTTATCTTCCTTCACAGATTCAGAATATGACCCGGAGGATGACCTTCTTGCAACTTTTCCCAAGGACTCTAATTCAAGGAAAAACAAAAATGCATTGAAGAAGGTTACTAAAGACTCAGGAGCAGGTGAGGCATTCGCTATGTCATGTAAGTCATGGTAGGGTAGGGATAGCGTTGGCTGAACTGTGAGTAAATTAAATTTCTTTGTACCCTGACAGCTGGCCGCTCAACCCGGAAACGCACTGAAGAGTCAACGGACAAACCTAATCGAAAGGTAATCAGCACTTATCATTCGATAGTTTGGTTCTAATAATGATTTGTATTTGATATACCTTACTTAATGTCTTTGAACAGAAATCCAAAACTGTGACAGCCGAGAAAAAGTGTGAGAAGCCACTCTCCGATGATGGTAAATATATATGTACCTTAAGTCACATACGGCAGTGCTTAATTTTTTTAAATACATCATGATAACACAAATCTTTGCTTTGCTTCCTTGACAGACGATTTCCAATCACTAATCCTAGATATTCCCCTGATTAAGAAGGTAATATTGCCTCCCTACCTGTATCACTTTCCATTATTCCTTACTGATACAATTTGCCATTTCATTGCAGGGACCTGTCACTCATGATTCACTTGTCCAGCAAGTTATCGATTACCATAGACCAGGGGAATGTGAAGAAAAATATGTACGCAAGGTACTTGGTAATTTATTCGACAGTGCTAAAGTAAGGTGGGCGGACATCTGTGGACTTAGAGCTGTGAAGCAGCGCTTGAAGGTATGTGTGCTTGTTTAGATTAAATGGCAACTTCAATGAATTTCAAAATTCTCTTGTAAGTAGCTGTGCAACCTGATATCTCACTATTTATTTGGTCCTGTGCGCATTTTCAGGAAATGGTTGTATACCCCCTTCTGAACCCACTTCTATTTAAAGGCCTTCGAAGACCTGGAAAGGGGCTCCTGCTGTATGGGCCCCCTGGAACAGGGAAAACTATGATTGGTTGGTGTTCGTTGATCAAACGAAAATACAAATGAATCTTTTGTTGCTCATGTCATGTCTGTTGCAGGAAAGTGCTTAGCGACAGAAGGGAATGCGACATTCTTCTCTATTACCACATCTACATTTGGAGCTAAATATTATGGAGAGGCTGAGAGCATTGCGAAAGCGTTGTTCCAGTGTGCAAGGTATAATTTTTTTGTTAGTCTCCCATTAAAGAGAGTGACATCATTATTTAGAGAAAACAATTTTACTTTTCAGTGCCCTGCAGCCATCTATTATATTTATTGATGAGGTGGATGCTGTTTTGCACAAGCCTAATGACATTGACAGTTCTGTCGTCACTAGGCTGAAAACAGAGTTATTATCAAGAATGGTAAGTGTACCATTATGTCATTATGGAGGATCACTTCTCATGATCAAGTTTGTCTCAGTAATGCTGTTTGCAATGTCTGCAATAATCACTTTTTTCTGCCTGTAGGATGGATGTTCGTCAAAAGCAGATGACAGAATTTTAGTGGTTGGGGCTACAAACTGGCCCTACCAGATAGATGAGGCGGCACGTCGCCGTTTCACTAAGCGCTTGTACATACCTCTTCCTGACGCGGAGGTAAATTTCTAAAGATCCATATTGAAGTGCACTAACACCTGTCGTGTGATGTGCCATTTTGTGAGTGAGGGTAAAGTGCTATTCCCAAACCACAGGGTTTGAAAATATCACATTATATGAAATTAGAAGTATTGCTGGCTGTGAATTGAGGTGTTAAAAAATTTGGTAAAAATGGGTACAACCATTTCATGTGATTTCTATGGGCCATGTGGAAGAGTTCATTTCATGAAATTATATTTTGCTACTTATTTCAAAATTGCATGTGATTGAAGGCCATTCCAGTGCAGGACTTTGTAAATCTTATTTCTGTTCCACTTCATAATGAAGTCTAGTTAAACATTAAAATTGTGAAGGTTCAGAATTTTTTTAATTAGTTAAGCAGTATTTATTGGACTAATGTTCAATTGGTTTGGTGTTGCAGGGCAGGAAAGAGCAGTGCAAAAGACTGCTGCGTGGGGAATCACATAATTTAACCGAAGATGATTTTGATTGTATCGCAGACATGACTGAGGGCTACTCAGGCTGTGATATCAAAGCGATATGTGAAGATGCTGCCATGGCTGCCATAAGAATGATTGATGACACTGAGGTGTCTGTGCGTCTTTTGGAAGAAAAGGATGTAAGTAGTGCCGCTACCAATCAGTTTTACCTTGCCACCATGACAATACTAGTTTCCATTTGTATTCAACAGCTAAGCCCCATCAGCCTGGCTGACTTCCAAGATGCCATCTCTCGAGTGTCCAAATCAGTGAGCCCCGAACTTCTCCTGTCACTTCAAAAGTTTAGTGAAGAGTTTGGCACTCAGTAGTATGAATGATACATAATTATTAGGTTTTATAATTGAAGTATTAAAAGCAGGTGATATTTCAATGGAACATTGACAGCGTTACTTTGTGATTGTTAAAGCTAGTCAGGTTTTCAACTGATGTGAGTGATCTTGGTGCATGAGGAAAGTTCATAAAGTTACATGTTGAATAACAATGTCTTAGAATGATGGTATCGAAAACATGTCATGTTTCAATCCCCATTTAATGTAGCTTACTTCCAAGAAGGTATTTCTCTTGTATCTAAGACTGTGAGCTTATCAAAAAATATTAGGCTTCCTCTCTCTGTGACTTTTGTGCAAACAAGCAAGTAAGAGATGGTTATTTATCTCATTTTTAAGGTGATGTTTTAATTGAACACTGACAGCAATTTTGTTACTATGTGCAAAATGAGCTACTCAAGGTTTTAACTTTTGTTAGTGATCTTCTTCCATGAGGAGAGTTCAGAATGTTATTTGTTGAATTACTATATTTTAGAATTAAGGAAATAAAAACATTAAGTGGGCAGCAACTTGAGCTGTACTAGATTTATTTACTTCACACTGTGAAAGTTACAATAAATAAGTGATGATTCTGGACAACGAAACATTTGACATTCTGTATGCCTAATCCCCAAGTTACACCCTGATAGAAAGGAATCGTTGATCAATTGCCAAGAAATCCTCACATCCACTCTGAGCTCCATTTGCAAAGTGATTGTTCCACAATGTACAAATCAAAATAATTGACATTCACATGCCTCATCTTAAGAGAGAACCTTATCTATGCATCATTGCATAACAAATTTTTCTTACTCCCTTGAAACATCTACCACGTCAAGTGGTTCAGTTCAAGTATCACAACTGATGAATTTTTCCCCTCTTTAAGTCAACAACTAAAACCTATCGATATCCTCCAGAAAATCTGTGCCAGTACTTTTTTCTATGAGAAGTTAAACCTCCTGCATCACACCTTGAAAAGCTTGTCTATTTTCATAAGCAGTCCAGCACTCTCTAAGATTGGTTTGTGAGTGCATTTAACATGTTTGGTCATATCCTGCTTGAGTGTTATAGAGTTGGGAAAAGTCTTGTTGCAAGTGTTAGCTGGGCACTTATATGTTTGTAGTCCATATTCTTCCTTGGGCTTGTGACCCCCGCACTGCACCTTATAACAATATAAAAGTCAGTAATTAACACAGGTTGAAAGAAAATATGTATCCAGACATTATGAAGAAATGAGTACTCACTACACTGGAACTCTCCAAAACAACATCTCTTACAAGCTGCATGCCTCTAAGCATCTCTGGGATAACTACAGTGCCTCCATGCAAAACATGACTAAGGAGGTCTCCCCTGAACGCTGCTACCAAAGGTAACATATCAACATGCACTTGGTCGAGTCTAAAACACAATTTGAATACAGAAAGTAAACAATACCTTTAATAAAGTAAAATAATGAAAAGGTGTCTGACACAAATACTTACGTGCACAAGCATTTTTTTGCATTGATTCCCCATGGAATCCATGACAAGGTCGCCACATTGATAGACTGGGCAATATTTGGCCCTAGGTTAAAGCCAAAATGTGATGCATTGGGGTACAGTACCACCAAATCACCTGGGCGTTGAACAACCTGAGAGAATGAATGCACAACAGAATCAAACTCCATGAATGAAAAGTTTACAATTGTGCTGAAGATAACACTGCAAATTTATAACATTGAAATAACTTACTACTTTGAAAGGGATTTTCCGTTCATTCAGCCAGCATACTGTTGGCAATACACTTTTATGTCCAAGAATGTTGGTACATGACGAGTGGTTCAGTAGAATGCAACTTTTGCGTAAGTGGAATTCAAGCAATTCTGTAGCCCAAGGTGGTATCACAACCCTAGAATAAAAATAAAAACAGCATGTAAGCAAGTAAATTTTAAAAAAATAACGACAAAATTTACAGCAGAGAAAGTACTTTACAATTAAATTTATAAAGTCATTCATGAAACTTGCCAAACTTTGGGATGTCCAAGATGTAGATAGTTTAAGCTCCAAAGCAGTGCATCCTCATTGTGCACTGGAAAGTAGGAGTGTGTTGATCCAAAATATAAAAAGGATGAATGCAGACCAGGATAATGAAGAGGAAGCAACCAAAGAATGTTAAAAATTCGGCTCAAGTTTAAGTTGGCTGTTATCGTTAGGAGATTATTAGAGGTTTCGAAACCATATCCATAGTATATAACTGCCTTGGGCTTTCTGTGCTTACTTTCTGCTACGCTTCTCTGCCTAAATTTTGATCTCTTTTTGGAGCGTTTGCGATTTTTACTATCAGCATCTTCTTCAATCTGATCAGTATCAGGTGAGAGATATTCACACTCCATTTCGGGGCACTCCGAAGGTGGTCTTTTTAAGCGCTTTTCCCAAGCAAATCCTTCACAGTTCTGACTGTAACTTTCGTAAAACTGCTGCAACTTAAGCCCGGACTCCTCCATGAGCACACTACTCTTCGTACTGCCCAATCCGACACCAGATTGAGACCGTTCCTTTATCTTCATTAGCACATCTGAATGGAAGTGGTTAAAGAGGTCTTCTAAAGAATCACCATCCCCCTTCAGAAACGAGGTGCTACGGATAGAAAAGTGATAAATCAATATCAAGAGAGCTCAAATGGCGGCATGTGAGTGAGGAGAGGGTGCAACTTACCAGCATGTTTCAGATTTGAAAGCCTCCACATGACTCATGTGTTTCCTGAATTCCTCTGTAAGTGTTGAGTCACATTTAGGAGCGGCATGAGTAAATACTCCTTTTTGTACAAACTCTCTTAGCTTCAGAGTATCCACAGAACTGATCTTGTATTGACTGCAATGCTTAACAAAAGTAGCTTCATCCTGTGGTTTAAGAACTCTTAAAGTAGGGTTTACAGTAGCCTGAAATGGGCAAGAACATTAATCAGTGTCTCAGTTGATCTAAGTTGATAACATACGAGATGAGCAGAGGTTATGAAACACACCACAAAAACTCCGTCCTCAACGCCAATACGTTTCCTTTCTTTGTCCTCTAACCAAGGAATGAAGTCGGTTTCCCAATTAAGATCGGTATCAATTGCAACGCGATCAACATCGACTCGCAACATTATTCAACTTGTATTCGGCCTTCATTCACGACAGACAACGAAATCACGCTCTTCTGATGGCGTCTGCTGGGCTTCTGCGCAGCGGCCTGCCAACAGGCGGCGCTCGAATCGCCAAACGTCGCCACGGGCGTGAATCGCCAGACTCGGTTTTCTCATCAACTGTAGTTTCGTTAGGAACTTTCTTTCGTGCTCCCCACCTCACTCCTCTCCCCCTCCGGGCGTAGGGGCTCGTCAAAGAGATTGTTGGTTATGTTTGTGGTGGTTTCGCTATTTATTTAAGTTTGCATTGTGACAACAATGGCGGAGATCCATTCGTTCGGCTATGTTATGAGTAATGACCAATTGAGCGACCTTTGGCATTATGATATGCACCTGGCAAATATGACCATGAAGCTACCACTAAGGAAATGCTCAGCTGCTCCCAGTTGTCTGTCAAATTTCCCACGGATGGGAAGTACTGCTTTCCAGGAATTGAAAGATGAGTTGAAAAATATGTGGATGTTCGCAGCACTCATCTTTCAGTGCAGAAAAGGAGAACGTGGGTGGGGTCTCTATTTCTCTGAAGCATTTGAAACCCATGCAAGGTGAGTATAGCACTTTTATGGCCATTTATTTTTCTCATTGCTTTTGCCACATTAACTCTGCCTATCTTTGACAGGATTTTCAATGAAAAGAAACCAATGGTCATGGGCTGGTTAGCCAAAGTCCCATCTCCTGATGTCTGCCCCACTGGCCACAGATATTTAAGATCCCCCTGCTGCAATGAGAACTTCCCAGTTTATTTAGGTGGACCTGCTTCTCTGGTAAATTTTGATGAGATTGACAGAGTCCTTTTCAAACCGATCTCATCAAACCACGGGCATATCAATACAAAAGTGGGAATGTACAAAGCTCCAAGGCGGAAGGTACTCACAGGGCTTGAAGTGTTATGGTCCTATAACTTAAGTGCAAAAAACTGCCACCATCCTCATTATTACCCTGAAAGTGACTGGCAAGTGGTATGTTTCAGTGGGATTGTGACAGCTCTTGAAGTTTTTGTACCTGTAAAGCCCATTTTCATCTCTAACATTACAGGGGACATGTTGTTCTGAAGGACAGGAAATTGACAGCCCACTATCTGTCCTACTTGTGGCAAAGGATGATGAACAACCAGTGAAGAGACGCAAAGTGTGTGCAAGACCCCTCATGTCACAAGCACGGGTCGCCAGTTATCGGCCTTGCACTTACTGCGGATTAAATTTGGCTCAGTTTGACACAGGAAAAAAGTACGTCAATATGAAACGTCATTGGGCCCTGAAGCATTCTGCTCATCTATGTGAAGAAATGGGTGTTGTGGTTGACAATGAAGCCATGCCAGTATCGGCTAAAGATTTTATAAAACATCTTGATAAAGTTGACCTTGTGTTCAACAGTTTAAATGCTCACTCTTACAAAGTGGTACCAGCTTCGAACTTCTTTGAAATATCGTAAGTCCTTCTGATGTCTCGCATATTACCTGAATTGTTGCTTCAGTCGACAATATCCGAAGACGTGAATCATTTTACTAACATTATGTCATTCCTTTTCCTGTCTCCAGTGGCACACCTCTACTTCCTGAAGAAGCAAGCGATGAAGAAAAAGAGGCAGTATTCAACTTGTTTTTAGCAGAAGCAAAATCTGCATTCAAGAAATACCAGGTTGTATACCTCAAGGGCATTTGCAATCCTAAGAATTATAAGGACTTACTGAAGCCAATCGAGACATCCAACTACAAAGCTGTCCACTGGAAAGAAAACTGCCCTTCAGGCACCAACTTTTCATTATTACAATATGAACTTTCTGAAGATGAGGAAGTGGCACACAAGCTTGATGTTGAGACTCAGTTTAGAAAAGTTGTTGCAGGTTGCCTGTAGAATTTCAATCTTTATTTTCTTATGGTGTATTGACTTCATGTCTCAAAGTTAAAACCATAATTTGACTTTATATTTTTTTACTAATGTACACTTTGTCCTGGACACAAATCTGCTGTAAAATAAGTTCTGCCAAACTGCAATTGTTTTTGCAACAGCAGATTGCATGTAAATAAATAATGTAAACTGAAATATTTTGTTAAGTTCTGCTATTTTTAATGACATTTTACAAACCACAGTAGCCAACACTGTGGGAAAAAAACACAGAAAATCCTGTAATGATTAGTACAGCTGTCACTGTAGCTCAGAGTCCAGGGTTTACTGTACTTTTTAACAGGATCTACTGTACCACAGGAATGGAGTACGGAATATCCTGTACCAGGTATAGTAAATACTGTGTTCTGAACTACAATAAATCCCGGCAAAAAAATGAACGATATTCACTGCGGTTTTTTTGTACAGTGAATGGTCGTGAAATATACATTGTTCAGTTGAACAGCTGCACGCATCTTGGAGATAGAACACAATATCTCAACACAATGTAAAAGCATCATAAATTAATTATCACTAAAATAACACAACCAAAGAATGACTCAGTAGCACGTACGCAGGTAACATTACATCAAACAGAACACAAGCCAAAACTTAATAACAAAAAAGACAAAACACAATGTAAAAGAGACAATGACAAAGAAAGGGGTAAGCAGCCCTAGCAGAAAGCAACTGTTCTACATAACTTATAAATCAACTTTTAGAAAGTGGATTTATATCTGCTGTACATTCCAATGCGAACCACATCACCAAATTACAGAGTTGAGCACAATACATGTTCTCTTAAAGTGCTCCTATAATAACTCATTGCTTATCAACTGGTGTTTTCATTGGTATGGACTTGTAGGCCATGTGGTTCCTCTTTGCAATCAAATTGTGACATATTCTTGTTGACTAATTTAAGTCTGTTCATCACCATATTATATATTATAACCAAAATAAAATAGTTAATTTGAATAAGTTACATCAAACAATTTTATTTTCGTTATATAATAATATGTGTGGTGATGAGAAGACTGAAAAAAGTCCTAGAGCATAAGGAATACTGTTCTCTACAAGACTATACCCCATTCTTATTACAGAGAGGAGCCACATGGCCTACAAGTCCATACCAATGAATAACACCAGTTGATGACCGATGACTTTGATGAGTTTATTGTAGGATCACCTTTAAGATGACTACTTCGTTATTGGTTGATGAAAAAACAAATATGGAATAATCAAACTGCGATTATGATGAAGTACGGATAAGCAGCCTTACAAGAAAGTAATTGTTCTACTTAACATAAAAATCTACTTTTATAAAGTGGATTTTGATCATACAATGACAACATTCCATTATGCACAGAAAGGAGGCGCCTATGCAGGCAACATCACAGTTCATTGACAGGGTATACAAGTTGAATGACACACAACACAAATTCAAATAAAAAAAGAAAAGAAAACATGACAAAATAATCAAACTGGCAATATGAGGAAGTACGGATAAGCAGCCTTACAGGAAAATAATTGTTCTACTTAACATAAAAATCTACTTTTATAGAGTGGATTTTGATCATACAATGACAACATTCCATTATGCACAGAAAGGAGGCGCCTATGCAGGCAACATCACAGTTCATTGACAGGGTATACAAGTTGAATGACACACAACACAAATTCAAATAAAAACAGAAAAGAAAACATGACAAAATAATCAAACTGGCAATATGAGGAAGTACGGATAAGCAGCCTTACAGGAAAATAATTGTTCTACTTAACATAAAAATCTACTTTTATAAAGTGGATTTTGATCATACAATGACAACATTCCATTATGCACAGAAAGGAGGCGCCTATGCAGGCAACATCACAGTTCATTGACAGGGTATACAAGTTGAATGACACACAACACAAATTCAAATTGAAACAGAAAGGAAAACAAGACAAAATAATCAAACTGGCATTATGAGGAAGTACGGATAAGCAGCCTTACAGGAAAATAATTGTTCTACTTTACTTAAAAATCTACTTTTATAAAGTGGATTTTGAACTTATAATAGACAGTAATAAAGGGATGAATGTTACAAGTTACATTTCAAACTCAAACACCCCAACCAATCATGATATAGAAATAATGTAGAAACCTGTCAAAATATTGGAGGTTTTCAAAAGAAGTCCCCAAGAAACAAAGAGTTTCACCCTTCAAATGTAATGTAAACCTACTGAGATAAATTATATTAATGCACCTCAGCTCTCAATCTTATCGGATATTTCTTTCTAGATCTGCTACTAATTTTTCTTTTCATGCTTTCTATAAGAGGCCCATATGTCTTGGATATCTCTCCAAACAAAAGGCTGGAAGATGTAGGGTGGCGTTTTTGCACATGATGAAGCAGGTCAAGAAATTCAGAACGAGAACAATGATTCCTAGGTATCATGCATGCAGGGCACTGGATAATAGTTGAACCACGGAACCTGGGGAATGGACATGGATGACGTACCTCATCAGTGTAAAGGGCAGCGTAGTCCCTAGCTATTTGAAACAACTTTCTGTAGTGAATAATCTTTCTGTTCCTCCGTTGAATTCCTTTTGCAAGTTGGCTCAGTTGCTGGGCTTCTTTCTCCACATGATTAAAAAAAAACTTCGTATCAAAATCTTCTTCAACCTTGAAATCTCTCATGTTCATTTCTTCGATCTGTTTGAATAAGGAAAAGAGCATGTAATGGAAATTGGATCGCTGTGCGCCAGAATCATGCAGAGATTAACTGTTGACAGCGAACAATGAATGGACACTCACCTTAACATTTGTCGACAGACCTTTCGTGTAATGTTCAGGACAAGGGACAGGACTCTCATCCAAATTAAGCTGTTTTACAGATTTCATCGTATTATCGTCATCAAAAATAAGCTCAACTGGTGGTTCTTCTTTAATAATGGGTCCGAAATGGAATTCTTGATGATCCATGGCAGTCTGAAAGAAGAAATCAGATCAGAATTACATCCATTAATGGCCCTATTAATGTAGGTTAGTGGGCAGCTTCAGTTTGGGAATGGAATGTACAGTACGTAGACTCTTGTCGGCCCCGCTAAATGCCACACTTATCCCTCAAGTCAAATAAGTTTCACCTCAATCCAAAATCCCTTCAAGTTACTTACCCAGGAGGAGATTGGGATGTTCGAAGAAATGTGTTGACGTTCGCCCAGCTGTTGTCAGACAACGCAACGCAGACGACGACCGAGTGTCTGACGTCAGCCCCCCCCCCCTCATTCCTCCCTGTACGATCTCCTCTCTCCCTTGTAGTAAGGCTTCCGTAAGATATGGACTCACGAACGAAAGGATAGGAGGGGCAGGGGTGGCATAAATTCTATAACTGAAAACAAACACCTTCCCCGAGTGACTGATTGATTTCTAGTCTGCTCTTCTTTCCTACATGATTTCAATTAAGAGAAAGATAAGAGCTTCTGAAGAAAAAACCTCATGTAGTCATTTGTAAAACAAACAACGTAGTTCAATTGTTCACGAATGCAAAGTACGTCTAATGTGTCTTTTAGTATTTATCACTAACCTACTTATTAGTGTACAATGATTTGGAAGCCTAGGTGACTATGACAAGACTCGCAGGTCAGATGGTATCCTTTCACAATTTTTAAATACTAAGGAACATTTAAAAAAAAAATAAAACTGATACTTTGAGTTTTTTGTGTTTTGCTGTGTTCTTGATACAACAGTGGAGAAAGCTAACCAGAGGAATCATTTTTCTGAGCCAATAAAGTTGCAAACAGAGGTAAGATTGAGTCTGATTATATTTATTCATGATGCAGGCAACATAAATCAAAGTATGCAGGGGCCATGTTAGGAGACATGTCAGGAGAAGATGACAGCAATGAATTTCTGCAGCAGTTACTGTGAAGGATCAATGAGCTCTGAAAATGTGAAAGGAACTAATGTAGATAATGAAATTCTGGAGGCGATAGACACAGTATAAATACCTTTGAGAATATTAAGCATTACCTTTTGGTTTGTACTTTCTGGGCCGCCCTCTCCCCCTTTTCACTTGAGGTTCCATTGATTTTCCTTTGGCTTTAGCCATAAGAGTTTGAAGAGCTAATGTAGCCTTCTGTTCCTTTTCTGTGACTTTCGGATCATCAATATCCTGCAAAACAGTCGAGGGAAAAAAAAACATTATCAGTCAATTGGAAATTACACACTATCAGTATGAGATTTGTATTAAACAAGAGTCCTTTAAATATATAGCATTGATGTTGAACATTAAGTTAGTGAAAGATTCTGTTCTAAATCTGCACAAATCCTACCTCCTCCTCGGATTCATGTTTATTGACTGATTTGGATGTCCTCTTATTTTTCTGTTGAACACAAAAAGCATCCCATTAATGAACATCATCACAGACTTTGAAAAATATTTCATCCTAACATCTAACAAGTACTATTAATACTGTTGCATTTAAATTGTAATAAAATACTTCTTTTAAGTAACTTTGAAATTATGAAATAAAAATTTGTACCTTTTTCGAGTGTTGCTGGTCTGACTCACTATCAGACGTTTCGCTTGAAGAGGAGCTGGAACCTGATGAGCTGCTGCTGCTTGACGATTCATCAGAGGCGCTACTGCTGCTGCTTGCATCACTGCTGCTACTTGTAATTGCACTCTTCTTTTTCTTTTTAGGCCTCTTCCGCGATTTCTTAGCTTTTATCTTATGTTTTTTGTCCTTTTTCTTTTTTTTTTTTTTTGTACATCTTTATCCTTCTCCTTCATACTTGGTGCTAAAGTGTTTATCTTTTCTTTTTCATCATGAAGGTCCTGACAATAGTTTTCTTCTTGCACAAGGTGTGGATTATGATAAGAATTTTCTTCTAGCACTGGGTGAGCGTCCTGATCAGTATTTTCTTCTGGAGCAGGGTGCGGATCAGGATAAGACTTTCCATTTAGCGCAGGGTGAGGGCCCTGATGAGAATTATCTTCATTTCGTACATCTTTATCCTTCTCCTTCATACTTGGTGCTGGAGTGTTTATCTTCTCTTTGTCATCATGGAAGTCCTGACGATAATTTTCTTCTGGCACAGGTTGCGGATACTGATAATAGTTTACCTCTGGTACAGGGTGCGGATACTGATAATAAGTTTCTTCTGGCACAGGGTGCGGAGCAGGATTATTGTAGCCATAGTCATAGAAATATTCATATGGATAAGCTTGACCAGCTTGACCTGGATAATTGAAACCAGGAACAGGAGGATGATAGGGGTGATAGGCGTAGGAACCGCAACCCCTCTTTCTATTCTTCCTTGATCTCACCATAGCTGTAAGAAAAAGACAACACAACAATTAACTTCGTAATCTTTCGCAACTTTCGAAACATATCCGACAAATTTTCATTCCATTATATTGAAAGACAATGAGAATGTTGTAATCCCATTAAACAGAAATCTCTCCTGAGAATTCAGACCGATTCAACAAACCTCTCGAGTGTTAAAAGATTTTGAAAAATTAAGTTAACATTTGAGGCTCAACCAGGGTGTCCCTATGATGGGTGAACTGTGGACGAGGTTAAGAAACGACCCTGAGTCTTTCGTAAGATCCCCGAAGATTTAAAAAAAATTATCAGACTTTCCATTTAACGAAAGCGAGCATTTAATGAAATACCCAATAGTGTAGATATTGCCTCATTGTCCCTAGAAATGACATTGATGATAAGCGTTCGACCGACGCGTGTCCGAACTCGTACAGACAATATATGACATGGCTAAGGAAGATGAATGAAACTTCTAATAAAGGTACATCTCCGAACTCACCAATATAGATGTGACATCCAAAAAATCGCAACTTAGGTGTAGCCAAATCATGGATAACGGGAAAACTCAGGCTCGGCGAGGAGAGGCGCACGCGGAAGTACCGTCATTGGTTGGTGATGTGGGATTGGATCCCTCCCCTCCACCGCCCCTCCCCGGTCCGAACTCTTTTCATTGGTTGGGTATGACAAATTCGTGAGCCGTTGCTGCTCCATGGGAGCTACGCTGAATGGTATTCCCTGTACCAAAATCCCCTATTTCAGTTTAAGGCACTCAAACAGAAGGGGTCAATAATCAATTGATCGTCAGGTCTTAAAGTAATTAATCATTTGTAATGTCACATTTAAAGTAGCATTTATTGATTGGTGCAAGCAGGTGGTGCTATAAGCACAGCAGGAGAGAGACAAACAAGAGAGACAAACCGATTCTTAAATCAAAGTAATTTGCACAGTGTGGCAACAGCAAAATAGAAGCATTATTTTAACTGCTGTAAAAATATTGTAATTAAAGTTGAAAAGAAATAGACATTAGCAGCATTTTATCATTTGACGAGGCAACTCATAATATGAATCGAAGACAAAGCACAATATTTGCAAAGTCTCCAACATTAAAAAAATAATGTTACACGTTTTTTTTCTTTTTCTTTCCATTTAGGCCCCTGTTGAACGCGCCCACAATTGTGTAGCTGGCAGTTTTGAGAAATCCACGCACGGAAATTAAACCTTCTTCAAGTTGCCGTGTCAGAGCTTGAATTTTAGAGTCATTGGAGACAGCAGCAGTGGATCGTATTCGACTTGGCCTCCTCAAAGCCTCCATAACTGCTATGTCTTGATGTGTGCAGTCCTCCATTTCAAGAACTCCATCTAAAAAAAATAAACAGACCACATCATTATTCCAAAAAATTTCAGATGTAGGTATTTAATTTTCAATTCTGATACACTCACCCATAAAATCCCAACAATTGGGCCTTGCCTGTCGAACTGCATCTTGAAACATACGGTTGTCGCATTCACTTCCATTTGTTGTTCTGTCTTCGCACCCACTGACAGACAAAAGATGAACTTTGTTCAGCCACTGTGTCTGCCAGTAGTTGGCAAGGGGCAGTATTGTAGCTGCTACACGTTTCTTGGTGGCCGTTTTCAAGAGTGAGTTATACCCTCTAATAATGTAGGATTGGGGAAGAAGTGGCAATGCGCAGAAGGAGCGCACGACGCGGCGCACGTGGGGGGAATCTTTGATTTTCTTGGTCATGCCCAGCTTCTTAGACTTGCCACCGACTGACTGAAAGCACAGAATTATTGATAATGGCTTATAAATTGGGCTCGTCCACTATCCTCTGCGCATCGATCAGTGGAGAGACTTCAATGAAAGTGTATGAATTACTCCAGAACGTATTTAAGTCATGTAACAGTTATTTCCCCTCACTTTTGCATAATGGAACAGACAGCCGCTGCAGTCTGCGTCAGGAAAAGCGTTCGCCAGTGCCTTCTGTTCGCCGGACTCGTAGTCCGCGAAAATATGCTGAGGCTTGAACTGCGGTACTAGGGCCTGTATCTTTTCCAGGGCGGCCTCATAAGCTTTCCGTGTACGCCTCCGCATGAGTACGCGCACCAGGGGAACGACCTGTAAAGTACACATCGAATGTAATTGAGTCCACAGAGAACTGTCACTCATTCCTGAAATATTAAATACCCACATGATGTTCTCGGATCGTGCTTATTGTCCACACTTGATATGCCTTCATGCCTCGAGGAACGGGGGAAAAAGTTCCGTCACAGAAAATTCGCTTCACTTTCCTCATGTAACGCCGCATCCTTCTAGTGACGAAAATGAGACTTATGGTTTTGTCCGCCGCACTGCCAGCACGCCCAGCATACACGTTATCCTTGCCATCCATCGTACGCGACAGACGTCTATATCTCCTTGACCGCAGCACCTTATCAAAATCTTTTAGAGAATGTGGTATCCTGGGTCGATTTTCCAAGCGAGCCCTCCGCATTGACGATCGAAGGGAAACGAGCGGAATCCTTGCTGCAGCCTGCCTAGAAATTCTGGAACAAGGACGAAGGGAACTTTATTGCGCCAGTCTCCTCCTTAAAGTCAAACCGTAATCGCCACACATGCTCGCATGATAATTACCGCAGTTTCCGTCTCTCTTCGTGATACATGACCCGGTAGGGTGTATGGTCACCTCTCCGGCACCGGTCCATTAAGGCGTGGCGAAAGGCTCTCGATTCAATTTTATATCGATCAGGATCATGGTTGTGTGGCTGAGTCTGGCGAAAATGTTCACCATCCGGAGTAACAGACGCTCGGCCGGAGCAGCGTTCCAAGAAATACTGGGTGCATCGCAGGCTGATCCTCCCGCCTGCCATTGTGCGATTGACATGGTAGTCGTGGTTGTCGGGTCCTCTCCAAAACCTCGTTCCGGGTCGAATCCCGTGACCAGCGATCAGGCGCATCCTGAGGGAAATGCAGATGTTGTAAATTTATACAGGGTAGGGGTTTCTACTGATGCCTTCCCCGCGGCTGTTTTGCATGCTTGCCACTGGATGGACGACATTACTACTGGAGGCTTATGACAATATCTATCACTTAATTATTTTAATGTCACTATTTCCAATCTATTGTATGGATGGCTGGTTCCCCATGGTCCAACAGTAATAGTTATTTTCTTCTTTATTCTTTATTAAGTTATTAACTTCTTTATCCAAGGTTGGAGATGGAATTGATCCGTAAAGACTTTAAGAGAATTCCTTGCATTGCACCATCACCTAAAATACTGGGGTCTGGATAAAGCAATGGGCCAAATCTCTACACTTTCCCAATTTTGAGGCAATATCGGAGATGCAGAGTTGACAATTCATGGATTAAATATGCAGCAAAAATTTTCACAGCTTAAAATAACGGGAAAAGTTTAAATTCTGAAAAAAAAAGCAGAGGTGAAAAATCATATACTGAACAATGTGTCTCCTGTCAAGACCAGGTAGTAATCTGGACCATAATTAGTGCTCCGCCAATGAAAATCATCAACCAACTTAAGCTTCACATTTTATATAGTTGTTTGGCTCCATCATTGCTGTCTGTTGCTTGCACAATACAACATTCTGATGTAGTGGGGACATAATTTAGTCAAGTCATCAGCACACAAATGATAATGCAGTAAAACAAATACTGTTACATTGATTTTTTTCGGTTTCACAATTTCAGTTTTGCCACTTTTTAACAATTTGAGTGGCGGTGAAGAGACTTAAAATGCTTTTAGAAAGAATCTACCACACCGAGGTATGAAGTAAGAGTTTGTTCAATGATGCCTGAAAGATTGTTTCCCATTGGGATAACAAAAAGGCAGCAGAATTGACAGATATACCAGTGCGATTTGTGATAAGAGATGAGTTTATCGTTAAAGGAAGTATGCATGGTCCTTTTTGCTACTACTGTTTCTTTTCATGGACTCTCTACATATTTCTACATATTTTGCCAAATACATAATTTAATACACCTGGTACATATAGTTAACATCAAAACAAGTTTATAACCTTTTTTTTTTTTTGGACCAGTGAGATGTCACCAATTTTATAAACCCAGTCACGATTGTGCAGTCCCTATGAATACACCAAGGCAGTTATTGCTCATCCGTCGAGCCTGCTCGAAGGTATGGCAATTGCCAAATACTCGAAAATAAAACCGATTAAGAAAAATAAGTACCTACCTCAGTATACACCACTAGATACCGACAACAGGGAAAGTTGATTCAAAAACTAAAGTTGCCGCAGCAACTATGAAGCAACTGTTTCATGAGAAGTAGCCTCCACAACGTGCACCTCGACTTTAAGCAAAGTACCACGAAATACTACAAATGATGAGAAAACGTAGAGTTAAGGTGCATTATGAGTGAAATTAGGACCCTCCCGGTGTATTCTCCGATAAAGCATTCGACTTCTCTCAATTTTTTTTCTATTTATGTTGGCACAAGCCCCCTCCAACCGCGCCGCCAACGCCGCCAGCCGTAGCCGTCTGTCTCCTCTGTCTCCCCCTCCCCCCTCCCACCCTGGATTCAAACGTGAGCAACCGTCACGACGAAGCCTGGCCCGTTGTGGGATTCGACTTGTGATTTCTTCAATTTCATGTAAGTCTGGGGAAAAAACCCATTGCGCGTCGCCCT